CCGCCCCGCCCCGCCCTTCAAGGCCCATGGTCTGTCCGAGAGGTGGGCGGGGCGGGGTCGGGTCGAGGTTTTGATACTCGGCCCGCTGCTGCTGCCCCGCTGACCGATTGCCGTGCGGCTTCACGCTCAATCGGCTGCGGCGGCGCCGCTATCGCAATCGCAGGGGAGAGTTAAAAAAAATAGAATGGGAAAAAAGTTGCCGTCATTCCACGTGGTTGTTGTCACCCGCGGGGGGACAGGGGGTTAACCTAGGAGGGAAAACAAACCGTGTCGCAATCGATGGCGCGCCGGTGTCGTCCGCTCGCGGCACGCGCCACGCCACGCCACGCAGGGTCCGCGACGTGTGGGAGGCGCCTCCACTTGACTATGACATCATCCTTACAAATGCTTTTTAATACGCAGCAGGCAGGCAGGCTGCTCGAGCTAGCCAGGACGCCAGGACGCCAGGCCGCCAGGCCCGCACTCGCTCTCGACGCCCACATGTGGCCGGCCAGCCCCCGGCCAGCGCCGTGCTTTCCCTGCTGTCCGGCACTTGACTCGGTTAAGGCCTAGATTGACAGTAGCAGCATGGCCGCCAAGATACAGTTCGACTGGCAGGCGGAGCAGCTGCTCATGAACAAGATGCTGATCCTCTTGGAGGACGAGGAGGGTGGCGGCGGCGCGGGCGAGGGACTCGCGTCGTCGCCGCGTGCCGGGTCGCTGTCGTCGCTCAGGGGCGGGCGCAAGAGCCCCAAACAGGGCAAGACCCGCAGCAAGTCGGAGAGCGAGGAATCGTCGTCGCCGCCGCCTCCGGACCAGCTGAGGAGGCAGAGCCCGGCCAGGAAGAGCCTGCTCTTGCGCAAGGGCAGCGCGGAGGGCAGCCCGGCCAAAGGCAACCCCACCAACGGGAAGTCGACTAACGGCAGCAACACGAACGACAGTCCCGGCAACGGCAACTCGACCAATGGAAGTCCTGTCAATGGAAGTCCCACCAACGGCAGCGCCAAGAAGGCCAAGTCCAAGGGCGGCTTCCTGGGACTGCTCTCCAGCAAGAACAAGAAAAACAAGGAGAAGTCCTCCCCTCCCCCACCTACCAACGTGCAGAAGCTGCAGCCGTTGCAGAGACCCCTGGTCAAGCCCGGTGGCAAGCAGGACGCCAAGATGGAGGTGCGCAAGGCCCTGGCCATGGAGGCGCAGCGCCTGCGTGCGCAGCAGTCCTCCGGCGACGAGTGGAGCGTGGACGCCGTCCACCCGCGACATGGGCGCAGGGTGCCCGCCAGCCCGGGGGGCGGCAGCCTCAGCAGCCTCAGCCCGGAGCAGCGGAGGGCGCGCATGGAAGCGCAGGCGCAGCAGACGGAGAGCCTCTTGCAGAACATGCACGCCCAGCTGGTGCTGCAGCAGGGCGGCGCGCGCAGCCCACCGTCCACCCCCGGCACCCCGACCAGCCCCGTCAGCCTGGCCAGCTCTCGCAGCCCCCCGCCCGACCTCAAGCTCGACATCCGGCCCACGGTGCCGCAGCCATCACCACGCAGCCCGCCCACCAGCCCCATGAGCCCCGGGGTCCAGGCTGACCGCAGCCTCCCGGCCAGCCCCGTCGTGCCGCTGCCGTCGCCCCGCACCCTGCCCAGCCCCTCCAGTCCCACCAGTCCTGGGCTACAGGCCACCCCCAGCCATCGCAGTCCCTCCAGTCCCACCAGCCCCGGGCTGCAGGCCAACCTCAGCCTGTCCAGCCCGCCCAGCCCGTCCGGCCCGGGCACCCAACAACAGGCGTCCACGGCCCTCCTAGACGCCGAGCGCAACGGGCGCAGCCCCCCTCTGAGTCCCACCCTGAGCCAGCTGGACGGCTCGCCCGGGCAGCGGAGGCGCGCCCAGGCCGCGGCCCTCGCCAAGCGCGCCCAGAGCCCTCAGCCCCGCTCGCCGCCGACCACGCCGCCCGTCGTCGCCGAGGTCGACGGCAAGGGGAAGCCGCGCCAGCAGGGCCGGCGTGCCATGAGCGTGTCGCCGTCGCCGACCTCTGCGGCTCCGCAGCAGGAGGGCATGCAGCGCACCGACCCGCAGCGCCAGTCCGCCCGGCGGGGTCTGCTCGGCCTGTTCCAGAGCATAAGGAAGGGGGCGTCCCCCAAGCAGCAGCAGCATGACCTGGAGGGCCAGCACCAGGAAACCAAGGGTTCCCCGCCGAGACCGCAACCCCAGCCTGAGCCGAAGGCATCCACACAGCTGCCGCAGCAACAGGCGCCCCATCGGGGATCCCCTCAGCAGAGACCTCCCCCCCAAGGCACCCCGCAGGGACCTCCACGCAGCCCTCCCCCACGAAGCCCTCAACAAGAGCCTGCACCTCAAAAGTCCCCGCTCTTTTCCGAGGCGAACGTGAAAGCTTTGCCCAACCGCAACGACCTGAGTGACGTGGCGCTCTCCATGTTCCACCAGCAGATCTCCAAGCAGGAGCATTCTTCGTCCAAGAAGGAGAGCTCCATCTCCAAGTCGTTCGAGAAGACGTCCAGCTCGCTCCAGGACAAGACCTCTCAGCTGCTGCGCGAGGAGATCTCGCAGGCACGCCGAGAAGAGACGTCTCAGGAGCGTTTCGAGAAGTCCTCGCAAGCGCGTCGTGAAGAGACGTCACAGGAGCGTTTCGAAAAGTCCTCGCAGAAGACATCTGAGGAGCGTTTCGAGAAGACTTCGCAGGAGAGGCGTGAGGAGTCTTCGCGGTTCGAGCAGAGCTCTCAGTCGCATCTGGGCGAAACAACGGAGTCTCTTTTCAAGAAAATGTCTCGGCCGGGCAAGGACAGCATTCCTCGCGAAAGCTTTGAAAAATCGTCAGAGTCGCGGCAGGAGGAGTTCTCTCGAGAAAGCTACGACAGGTCGTCGCAATCGGGCCAAGGAGAAGTGTCGCGGGACCATTTCGAAAAGTCGTCGCAGGCCCGACAGGAAGAGCTTCTTCGCGAGCGGTACGCACGTGACGGGGACGGCTCGAGTTACGAGAGGACGTACCAGTCGCGTCAGGATCCGCCCAGGGAATCGACGACCTCTCTGTCGTACCAACGGGGCTCCGCCGACCGGGCGGCCGCGTCTCCGTCGCACCAGCGCGCCCCTGCGTCCCCCCGTGAGCGACAGGCAGCTGCAGCTGGCGGACCGAGCGCGCGGCAGGAGCAGCAGCAGCAGCAGCAGCAGCAGCAGCAGCAGCAGCAGGTGCGGCCGGAGGTGCAGCAGACCGAGCACCTGCTGCACGCGGAGCGCACCGACCAGAAGCCCCCGCTGCCGCGCGGCGCCCAGCACAGCAAGAGGGGCGCCGCCGAGGCCGCGTCGTCGTCCTCAAAGAAAGGTGAGCGGGCATCCCGCCCGAGTGGAGCGGCACGGGGACGCCATCTGGAGCAGTGATGTTGGCGGAGGTACTCGACCGCGTGGGGGAGGGGGGAGGTCTCTGTAGGCACAACAGCTCTCTTTGATGAGCATGCGACGCTCGGAGCCGTCCTGAAAGCCGTGGGCGTGTTTACTCTGTACTCGTTGTATTACTCTACACTGTTGCAAGATGTACAAATCTTTTCATTTAAAATGACTGAAAAATTCTCCGCGGCCTTTACGCTCAAAACTGACACTGGCCTTTTGGTCAAGCTACTACAATAACCGACTAGCAGGTGTCGCCAATAATTTACTTTGTTCTTCGTCCTCGAAAAACTAAACCATGGGCTCTAGAAAGACGCGTCGTGTGGAGGTAGGGCAGGGACGCGCCACAACGAAAAGGAAAAGAAAAAGATGTTCTTCGCGCGGGCGGCGCGCCTCTGTGACGTTGGCTCGTAAAACCTGTATATTGGTGCCGGCGGTGCGATGGCGCAAGGTGCGTCCGTCGGAGGAGTGGAGCGGGGGCGGGGCCGGGTGGGGCATAGGTCAGGCCATGGGCGCGCGCGCGTGGAGGCATACATTGGCGGCCTGCCGTGGCGCAGCGGGGCGAACCTTGATCGAGGCGTCGTCTGCTAGCCGCCACGCTCGTGCGGAACGTGCTGCAGCCGCCCCGCGGATGGACCGTACGGCGCCCTCGAGGCGGTGTGGTGGCTTGGAGGCTGCCGTGGTGGAGGGATTTTCGATTCGCCGTAATGGTTCCACGGCAGCAGTCCGCTCCTCGCCGCTCGGTCCCTCCGCTTTATTTCGCTGCACATTTCGTTTTTGGCTCGACGCCTGCTCTGCTGGCTGCTGGACCCCATTTCCCAAACAGGCCGCTCGCGTTTTACGCCGTGTACGTCCTCGTTCGCCATGGCAACGAGCAGACCAGCGGCGGCGCGCACTCTGCTGTGTACACCGTTAAGATTCTCGCGGATTCTCTTTCAACCTTTCTTTTAAGGTTCATCTTCATTTTCCGAGCGTGTGTTTGGGAGCGATCTTGTCTGACCCCTCGCCGCCGCCCTGGCGTGGCGCGGCGTGGCGGGGCCCGGGCCCGTCCCATGTCATGGGTCAGCTGATTGGGCGGGGTGGACGAGCCTGATTGAATTGGAGTAGTGTTATAAACCCTCCGCTTCAGTCGGGCGAGCGGAACACCCGACCCGACGCCGGCTCTGTGCGGCTCTCTGTGCCGGCACCAGAGGCCGATTAGGGCCGCCTGATACCCATCCGACCAGCCGCGGGACAGCTTCAGCCGGCTTCGGCGTGCTGGCGGATCAACTGCAGTGAGTGCAGTGACTCCTCGGGGAGGGACGAGGCCATTCCTCCTAGCCTGTCTCCTACTGACTGGCTGAGCGCGAGCATTCAAGTTTGCCTTTTAGCCAGGGCGGCTGACGGAGTGACGAGCGGAGCGCGATCCTGTCCTGTGGAGGCGTGGCCGACCTGCCCTCACCGCCGCCGAGTGTCCTGGACCTGGAGCCGCTTGGGGCCTCTAGGAGGGCAGGAGCCCCGCCCCCGCCGGGTGAGAGGCGCTGGTCGCACTGAATCCCATGTCCTCTCGCTGAGCCCCATGGAGCCTGGAGCCCCCCTGGAGCCTCCAGGGGCAGGAACAGGAGCCCCGCTGGGTGAGAGGCGCTGGCCGCACTGCATTCCCTGCCCTCTCCCGGATGCTCACCTCACTCCGATCCGTTCCGCGCCGCTGCCGCCGCGCACTTGCACCGCCCCGCCCCGCCCCGCCCCGCCGACATAGCGGGAGCAGCGCGCTGCAGCGGGCCGGCGGCGGCGGCATGTGACCACGGGCGCGGACCATAGCCACATGGCTGTGTATAGTCCCCCTGGAGCGTGACGCTGCCCGCCCCCCAAATGGTTCTAGGGCCGCCGGGCATGGCCATGGCCACCTCATCTCTATCTCCCCCGCCGCGCCTTTCCCCATTTTCCGCTCCGTCGGAGTTTTGTCGCGGTCGGCCGGCCGGTCGACTGACCGGTCGGCCAGAGACACCGCACGGTGTAGAGGCGCACGCTCGTTGTTGGCGTGCTGACTCGGCCGCAAAGTTGTTGTGATTTCGTGATCCGCCCGGGTCGTCGTGCTTGTGCCGAGCCGAGAGCCGAGGGCCCCCCGCCCTGGAAGGCTCAGTCATCCACTCGTTGTTGTTTGTGCTCCGCTGCTCGGCGCGCGCTGGTTGTGGCCCCGCGCCGCGCCCCGCCTTTGTCCCCCCCGGGCCCGCGCCCATCAATCACTCGGGCTGCTTGTGCTGCTTGTGCTGCGGCAGCTGCGGCAGCTGCGGCAGCTGCAGGTGCCCCTTGGGGCCCCGCCCTTACAAGGGGCCCCGGACCGGGACAGAGGGTGGGAAATGCAGCTGTGCCCGTGCGGCTGCTACTGCTGCGCTGCTGGCTGGAGAGGGTGCGCCCGGCGGGGCCTGGCTGGGCGGGCGGGCGGTGCCTGGAGGTATCCGATGGCGCGGACACCGGGGGGGCTCAGATGTCGACCTAGTCCGCGCCCAGCACCTCAGCACCTTCCCCCGCCTCGGCACACTTCCCGCCTGCTGGCCGCCGGTGGTGGTGGGCCCCGAGTGTGCCGAGCCGAGACGACAGTTTGTGGCCCTGCGTCGTCATGCCGTGCATATTGCCCTCGCCTGTCAATCACGTTCCATTGACGCCTGCCGCCCCCCCGCGAGGTGCGGGTTGTCATCGCCCTCATGAATATGCAAACACTCTGCACCTCTGCTCTGCACGCCCTGCTCGCCGCAGCCGAGTGCGGGCCTCGCTCACCTCTCTTCTCTCTTGACTGGCGCAGTGTGCTCGGTGGACCCTGCGCCTGCGCGGCGGGCGAGGAGCGAGAGGGCCCTTTACTTGTCCCCTTTCCCGCTACTCGGACGACAACGCCCAAGAAAGCCCTCTATGCTACCCTCTCCGCGTTTGGTTAGACGACGAACGACGCCCGCGAGTTGCGATCGTGTCCTAGAGCAAGCACACATACCATAACCCATCATTGTACCCCAGGGGTATAAACATTATTGGGTCCTTAAAAATTCCTGTGGTAATCCTAAACCCTTTGATATATGATATATGTATGTAGGGGTTCAAATATCACTGGGGTGCTTGTAAGCACCTCTGTGGTCTTCCTGAACCTTTTGACGTATCTATGACATTTGCATCCCCCCCCCCCTCTCCCCGCCCTCCGCATCTAAACCCGTGCTGGAACGCTGCGGTATCAGCTGCTGGAATGTGTGACGCGGCCCCCCCAGCAACACGGCGGGCCGGGGCGGGCCGGGATTGTCGTTATTAATATTGGTCCCCGCCTGGTTCGCTCCGCGGCTCAGCAGCGCTCGGCTCAGCCTCGCGGTGTGGCTGTATGGCGTTGTGGCGTGCAGTACCGCCGCGTCCGTGTCGGCGTAACGTGCATTCCTGCCGCTGCTGTGCCCGGCCGCTCCGGCTGTTAGTCCGTGCGTGAGCGCGCGCGCGTGCCGCCCTCAATGAGCGCCGCGTTCGCACTTGTGAATGGTGCACCACTACTTGGCGTGCCTCTCTGACGCTGCTGCCGCTGCTGAACCCCGTCCGGCCCGGCTCGGCCCGCGGCAGCGTGCCAATACGTGTCGTCGTGCACGCACGCGCGCGCGCTCGCTTCCGAGTGGATACCGTGTAGCGCTCGCGGTGGAGTGCGGCCTGGCCTGACGACATGGCCGCCGCCGTGATGATGACGGCCGAGATGACGGCCAGGTCGCAGGCGCTGCTCGCCCTCGCCGTCGCGGCGGGTAAGTCGGCGTGTGGAAGTGCGCGCGAGCTGCTTGAGAGCGAGCTCGTGACCGGCCTGGCCGGGCAGAATACCCCGCGGCTTGCGTCACCGGCGGATATAGTCGCCGCATCACGGTGCCCGCGCCCCGCCCGCCCAGCATGGCGTCGAGTACACACACCGCCCGGGCCGCGCGAGGTGTCCCAGGCGGTGCTGGCCGCGGGGCGGGGCGGGCGCGGCCCCATCCTCCCCCAAGGCCGTGCTCTCGGAGTGGTGCCCAATGGCGCCAGCCCCGCGGTGCGCTGCTCCTGCTGCTGCAGCGCGTCGTGTTGAGGAGGGTTAGGGTCAGCAGCGGCCGGCACCGCCGCGCGCCCGCGCCCGCTTTGCAGCGGGGTGCCGACGTATGGACGGGGCACCCCGTCGGCGTGTCGAGCTGTCGGGCGCAGCTGCGCAGCCCTGCCCTCGTCGCGGTCAGATAGTCGGATACAATTTCGCGCACTGGTTTACCTTACCCCCACGCGGCGAGCCTGTGACGGGCGCCACCCGCTGTTGCTGCTGTGATGCTGCTGCTGAGCTGCTGCCGCTGAGAATCTGCTGAGCTGCTGTTGGGCGGCTGCTGCTGCTGCTACATAACCGTATAGCTCGTCCCGCCCCCGCCCCGATGAAAGGCCATAAATCTTTGAGGATGGCGCCGTCCCGTCGCTGCCCGGCCGGCTAGTCTTTTCCTTCATCGACTCGCTCGGCTCTGCTCTGCTCGGCTGTGTTAGCGAGCCGTGTGTGTATCGGCAAAAGTAGTAAGGATATTAGTTCTGCCGCCGTGACGTGGCTGTACGGGGAGGGAAAGGGGTCGGGGCGGGCGGAGCCGGCCTGACCCGACTGGCAGGCACCACCGCCACCATCAGCCGGGCTGCGGGGCCGCCGCCGGCGCCTTGGGGGAAACGGCACAAGTTTTATTCGTCGGAACTCAAACGCAACAACACGAAGTCTGCAGGGGGGCGGCCGGCCGGCCTGGGCCTGACTGCGCTGCACCTGCAGGCCGCGAATGAAACACGCGCGCCCGCAAAACAAAATGAATCAAAAAGGCATAAAGAGAGGAAATGACCGGTGCATGGTGTAGCCAAGTGATGTTTTGATAACACACACACT